CAAATACACACGTCTTCTCTCTCCACACACAAATACACACGTCTTCTCTCTCCACACACAAATACACATCTTCTCTCTCCACACACAAATACACACGTCTTCTCTCTCCACACACAAATACATACATCTTCTCTCTCCACACACAAATACACACGTCTTCTCTCTCCACACACAAATACACGTATCTTCTCTCTCCACACACAAATACACACGTCTTCTCTCTCCACACACAAATCTTTCTACCACCACAAGCACGTACAAATACATACATCTTCTCTCACCACACACAAATACACACGTCTTCTCTCTCCACACCCAAATACACACGTCTTCTCTCTCCACGCACAAATACATACATCTTCTCTCACACCACATATACACATATTTACACACATATTCTTTCTCTCCACACACGCACATACACATATTCTCTCTCACTCTCACCACACACACATATATTTTCTCTCCTTCACACAGACACGCTCACACAGAGAGAGTGAAGCACACATATATGCACATGCCGTTCTTCCGATCATTCATATGAAAACTTATTTAAAAACGTGCCACTTCATCTTCAGATGAATACTAATTGCATAACTTGCCGGGTGAACTGCGTATGAACAGTCATGGACATTATTTTATCTCCAGATGCCTCTGTGTTCCAAGGTTTTGGCACTGATGGTGCTCTACGTCCCCTGTGTGTCATCATTTCTCCTGCAACCTGACAACGCTTGTCCAGCACCTTACCCATGTCTGTGTCGAGGTGACAGCATCCAATGTGGTCAAGCCCAGCTCAAAACTATACCCGTCTTTACAGCATCACGCAAGTCATGGTCCGTCTACCTCAACTACAACAGCATCTCTGTCATTCCAGATAACGCATTTAAGAATATCAAAATCAAAGAATTAATCCTGGACACGATGAATCTATTGAAGCCTGTGACCATTGCTGATAATGCCTTCCAGGGACAAGAAGCAACCTTGAATAAACTCAGTATGGTCAACTGTGGGCTGACCTCTCTTCCTCCAGCTTTCAGAAAGCTGAATGCCCTCACCGACCTGGCTCTGGATGGCAATGCCATTTCTCAATGGGACGACAACGCTATGCGGACCCTCGGGAGGGGCCTGACCAGATTCAGTGCCAGATCCTTCTCAGGAACGTCCTACGCATGGACTCGTCAGTTTGCCTACATGAGAAGACTTGATTTCCTGGATCTCTCTGACAGTCCGCGTTTTGTTCCAGATTTGGACAAGTTCGTTGTTCTGAATGACACGCTTACAAAGTTAATTTTGACCAGGATGGAGATGACTCAGGTACCCGACGTTTTAAAGCATTTTCCCAAGCTGACAGAGCTAGATATGGGCTATAATAAACTGACGGAAACTAGTATCAAGGGGGATTCATTTGCATCTCAAACTGAACTCCAGTTCCTTACAATCTCCTACAATCAACTCAACACAACCCCTGATGGACTTTCAAATCTCAAGACTGTCACCTATCTTGACATTAGCGGGAACCCAATGACGACGATGGACACCTCAAAGCTGCCCACCGGTATTGTACGATTGATTGCAAATCATGGTGGCCTGAAAACGATCCCTGCTAATCTTCAACGGTTGACGAAGTTAGAAGAGCTCAATATGTACACCAATCACATAACAGCTATCAGTGAGAAGGACCTCAGTCATTTGCCAAATCTTAAAACAATCTTCTTGGGAGGAAATTATTTGACTTCGCCCTTGCCTGCCAATGCGTTAATTGGAGATACAAATCTGGAACAGCTCTCTTTAGAGTTTAACAGACGTAACAATGTCGTGTTCTCCTTTTCTGTTATTCGCTCCTTACCAAAGCTGTTGTACCTGACAGTACAGAATCCAGTATGCACCTGTTCAAGTGACGTTCCCCAGTGGTGGAGCGGAGTCACAAAGAAGCCGGACCTTGAAGGTCACTGCCTCAACACGTCTAAGAAAATGAAAGACTTGCTCACAAACTGTCAACCTTAGATTGTTAACCAGAGCTATTCAGCGGGTTCTAGGATTATCATGTCTAAAATAGACCTGTTATGTCTTCGCCTGTGCTTCTTTTAATTCTAGTGCACAAAAACACTATTCTGTCTATTGACAAGTGTGCGAAAGAGACCAATTATATACCTATGTATACTGGTGTAAGGAGGTACACCAGGTAAGCAGATTAATGTGTGTGTGTGTGTGTGTGTGTGTTGTGTGTGTGTGTTGTTTTGTTGGTGAAACGCCTGAAAAGCCGTGTGTGTGTGTGTGTGTGTGAGAGTTGTGTGTGTGTGTGTTGTGTGGTGTGTTGGTGTGTGTGTGTGTGTGTGAGAGTGGTGGTGGTGAACCGCCTCCGTGGTGTGTGTGGTTAGTGTGTGTGCCTGTGTGTGTGTGTGTGTGTGTGTTGTTGTTGGTGAACCGCCTCCGTGGTGTAGTGGCTAGAGCGTCCGCCCGGAGAGCGGAAGGTCGCGGGTTCGATCCCCGACCGCGTCATACCAAAAGACATTAAAATATGGTACTTGTTGGTCCCTGCCTGGCGCTCGGCATTAATGGGTACAACAAGGACTGGTCGGCTCGGAGTCAGTATAATGTAACTGAGTGGGGTATTCATGCTTCACTGCGGCATGGTATCTCAGTGGGCTAGCACTATAAAACCAGCTTCAGTCTGGGCTAGTACAAGCAGCCGCACATACACATACACACGCATACACGTCGTCATATGAGCGAAATATTCTCAAGCACGACGTTAAACCCAATTTCACCTCACCTCACCTTGTTGTTGGTGGTTTGTTTGGTCTGTAACGCCATGTGTGTATGAGTGAGTGAGTGTAAGTGTGTGTTTTTGAGTGTGTGTTTGTATGTGTGTATACTGGTGTAAGGAGGTACACCAGGTAAGCAGATTAATGTGTGTGTGTGTGTGTGTGTGTGTGTGTGCGTGAGTGTGTGTGTGTGTGTGTGTAATGTGATGTAAAGTGGGTGGGTGTCTTCAGCTCCTGCAGTTTTGTAGATACACTTTAAAAGCTCTCCCACGAATCCAAAACAGATGAGATTACACTTTACGAGAGAACATGTTTATGAACACAGTTAAGGTCCTTGCTCACGTCATCCTTGACTTGCGTCCTCGCTCCCCGGACTGTTCAGTCACAGCTAAATGTTGACACGTGTTCACACGGGATTTCAAACCTCTTCGGACCAAAACATGGGACAAGTGTATTTTTGTTTCACAGAAAATGTTTTACCTTAAAGAGATTTGACCAGTAACAACGCCCCAAGGGTTGGGGTGTACAGGTGAGGAGGGTAGGGAGGCGTATTTCAACCACACACTGCTGTCTTCAGATATCATGTGGTAGTGGATACCTTACTTAAAATAATCGATGAAGAAAATGATCCTCGACGAATTACAGTGCAATTATATGTTTCTAATAAACAAATATATGATAAACACCAGACAATAATAAAAAGACTGTATATATACACGCATATATACGTACATAGATACAATTATATTCACCACAGCTATTATTGCGTGTCAAAACTGCGCCTACGCCTTCAATCCGGAAATACCCAGATTGTCGCGGCGTTGTCACGTGATCGTGAGAGTAATGTGTATCAATGCAGCAGTGTCATTCTATAAATATCATTCAGTCATGTGATACCCAGGAATTAAAGATCTCATGTGCACAAATGTTGTTTAACAAACCATCAGCCATATGCGACGCTACAACGGCTGTGTGTTAACAAAGCAGTTTTGACAAAGCATGGTTGTGGATAGCTGCCGTGTTTAGCCTCAGAAGGATCTCCTTGAACTGCTATGGTTGGAAGATAGACCATTCTGCACAGTGTCATCACCTCATCACCATGCTGCTTTAAACAATAGCTCAGTGTTCTATATATCCTTATCTTGCCAGGGCATATCTGTGTGTTGTTCGAGTGATACATATTTCACATACCAGGTATGACATTCATCCCCGAGTTGGTGTTCAATTCTAACTGGGGCGGTAGGGTAGCCTAGTGGTTAAAGCTTTCGCTCGTCACGCTGAAGATCCGGGTTTACTTGCCCACATGGGTACAATGTGTGAAGCCAATTTCTGGTGTCCCCCGCCGTGATGTTGCTGCAATATTGCTAAATGTGGCGCAAAACCATACTCACTCACTCGTTAAGTGATGAATATACATGTGTTCCAGTTTTCTAATTTAACACACACACACACACACACACACACACACACACACACACACACACACACACACACACACACACACACACACACACACACACACACACACACACACACACACACACACACACACACACACACACACACACACACACCACCCCCGTGTTCATCTCACATAAGTATCACGACGTTATAATACCGATTACCTTTGAAGCTGACCCACCCGTAATATGATAATATGAGAGAGTGAGCGTGTCTAGGTAAATTTGAAATGAGGTTCTCCCAGACAGACAGAGATTTAACTTCCTACACTCTAGCAAACCAAGAGCAACGTTTCAGGTCGCAATTTTAAGCCCATATGACGTCAAGAAAACAAAGAAACAAAATACTTGATTGAGGAAGGAACATCCGCCTTTAATGTGAAAACACAGGTAACACCGTTCACACATACAGTTATTCTGTCTGTACCTTTGAAAACAATGACAATGTTGATGAATATAAATTTTACTAAACTTTAGCATACAATCAGCAAAGTACAATATTTCCCTGGAACACACTGTCAGGATATCGTATCTCAAGGCATCCATCGCTTGTTGCTTCAAAACGTGTTGCTGTATTCTGTGTAAGGGAGAACCGAACAAATAGTTTGGTTTAAGTTAATGTATAATCAGTTTAGTTTAAGTAACTGAACAATCAGCTTTGTCTAACTGAACAATCAGTTTTGTTTAAGAAATTTACATATAAATATCCATTGTTGACATCAACAAATCCCCTTCGATATATCATTTGAGAAATGCATTTTAACGTCAGCCCAACCTAGGTTCTGGAATCCACTCCAGTAGGTAGTTGCTCTTGTGCAAGGTCCATTTCTTGTGACACGCCATGCGAGACATGTAGTTTACCAATAACTGGCCACTTGACCATGTCTCCCTGAACATAGGCACAGTTAGGGAAATATATTTCACTTCGGTATATTGCGTCTCCGATGATAGTTGCAATGTCACCCTCGACCTGAATTCGAACCTGACTGTTGTCAGTGGTGTTTACAACTAACACGATGACCCGTCCCTGTATACCCACGTTGGTTCTGAAGCAGCATTTGAAACGTTTCTCAACGACTCTTACCGTGGCAGTGGTTCTCCGCATAGGTGGCGCTGTCACGCTGTACTTGATCACCCAGGAAATAGAGTTATCTGCCCTGTTGTCTTCCTCACCGGCGATGAATATGCCGTTGTTAAACGCGCCTGCGACATCTTCGGGAGCGGTAAGTTTTATACCTACATCCGCACCACGACAAAAACCTCGTCTTATTGTAACCCTCGCTGTCGCCGATGTCGTGCGTTGTTCTCTTATCTCATGGTCATGCGTGACGTCGGTGTGGTTGTCGTAATTGGCCTTGAAAAGGGACGTTGATCTGGGTGTTTTGTAATCGTATCTCCCAAAGAAATACGTGGGCTGCTCTGTACTAAATCGGACACCATCCCACACCACTTGTAGCTGGTAGTCGTTGTAGTCGTGTTGTCCTTTTGTTTTAATAAATGCCGCCCACGCCCACTTCTTAATGACGTCATCAAGGTCCGTCAGTTTGCTTGGCATGTTGATATCTAAGGCAAAGGGTAGATGACTGATTACGAAATAAGATCAAATTCTAAACATAAAGTGATTTTAGGCTTACGCTGCTTTTAGCAATATTCCCGCAATACCACGGCGGAGGACACCAGACATGGGCTTAAAACCTAATATTATGTTTCTGCTCTTCACAGACGTAGTGTCAACATCAAATATTTTGTTCAAATATATATTTTTGTCCCTGTGTTACCTAAATGCTGTCTCGCCTATTCCTCTTTGGTCCCAGACTTTTTTCTGGTCGGTCTATGCTCTTTATTTATACTCACTCACTCACTCACTCACTCACTCACTCACTCACTCACTCACTCACTCACTCACTCACTCTATGAAGTGATGACAGGTTAAACTGATGCTCAGCAGCTACCTACGGGGGTTGTGGGGTAACGGATTGGGTAGTCCATCTCGGCACCCTGTCTCGTTGCATGCTATTGCAACCCGTTTATGTTCATAATATCAATCACAGGTTTGTCTGACCAAAAGCGATTTAATAAAACCCATCAAATGCATCCCCACGGAAAGCGCATGTATATGCCTCCTACATACATCGGAGATATGGACAAAAGCTTTTGATGCTTGTGAGACCTTTAAAATACGATATATTCATTGACATGTGCGTAATTGTCCGGTTTTCGATCATTCACCGTATTTCTGTGATGAACTTATATATATATATATACTAGGGGTGTTGATACTAAACCGGCGCCGAGCTTATCGATTTTCTGACCCGCAGTGGGGGCCTGTGATTCCAGATACCTGGACCGAAATAGTTTTTCATCATTTTTTCATATTTTCATTTTTCTATTGTTAGCGCCAACATTTTCATGTTATTGCTGAAGACCTGCACCTGTCAAACTGAGGACTATCCTTGACATTTATGTTTTGAGTACTTCTGAAATTTCAGCAGATTGTTTAGTTCTAATACCATGTTAATTAAGTGTATTACATGCCAACAGAATGTTCATTAGAAAATCTTATGTTTTTATATGTGTTTGCCAGGTCAGTTTTATCCTTCAACAAGAAAAAGGTAATTTTGGCTGTAACTGGTAACCGCCTCCGCCAAAATGGTGTTCCCATTATCATGTTTCACCCTGGATTATCTCCCTTTGTTAGACCACATCAAGCATTTGCTGTGTGGCTCAAGTAGACTTCATTAAATCGCATGAATGTTTAGTTTTTATATTTGTGTTTTCCTGTATTTTGAGTAGACACCTGCTTGTTTTCATGATTCGGCAGGAGTTCTGTTATTTGTTGACTTTATTTTAACATCACTCATTGTTCCATATCCTCATGGTTCACAGTTGTTTACTGTCGTGTATGATGTCTGCATGGGATTGTTGTTGAATATTTGGATGGTGATCTCCACCCCCACCATACTTCCTTACTCCCTGCAGAACAGATCACTAGCTACCATCCTGTACTAGGTGGGGCAGTGAGGTAGCCTTGTGGTTAAAGTGTTTGCTCATCATGCCAAAGATCCAGGTTTGATTCCCCGCATGGGCATGATGTGTGAAGCAAATTTCTGGTGTACCCCATTGTGATACTGCTGGAATAATGCTAAAAGCGGCGTAAAACTAAACTCACTCACCGTACTAGGTGGATCGGAGACCCGATTTTCATACAGTTCTTCTGGCATCATATGTTTCAGCTTAGGTCTGTATGGTGCCCAGGAGCTGAGAATGTAACTTGAGTGTACGCCATTCCATTGACTTGGGTAGTAATGTGATAACATGAACCTCCACTTTGTGAATGTAATCTAATGCATCCTACATGGATGTGTTAATGCTGTTCCTCAAGGCACAGTAATTGTTTACAATAAGTGAAGCCCATTTCTGGTGTCACCCTCTGTGATATTGCTGGAATATTGCTAAAAGTGGCATAAATAGAGAATCTCACCCTAGTGTCCACTGATATCAATTATATCAACACGAGTTGATAAAGTGACAAATATCCGAGTCTTGCCGAGAAAATCCCTCGTCATAAGTTTTCATTGAAAATGTACATCTCTGAACATGGTACTGCCATTAGACTTGCAGTACAGCGATGTCATAGCATAGTGATGTCATCAGGTTTTTTATGTCATAGCATTGCGACTCATGTAATAGCATAGCACAGTGATGTCATCAGGTTTTTATGTCATAGCATTGTGAGTCATGTATTATGTATTATGTCAAAGCATTGTGATCTTATGTAATTGATGACGTCAGGGCATTGTACAAAATCTGCTGTCAAACGGTATCTCCTAGGAGATATCATTTGATCTCACACAAGCAATTTCTCCAGTGGAACATAGCTTTGGATAATGAAACTAAATTCCTATCTCACTTCATGACTGTGGGGCAGTTTGATGACCTAGTGGTTGAAGCACTTGTTCTTCACACCATTAACACTCATACTGGAATGATGTTTTAGTCTGATGTGTTCAGTGAAGGGAGGGCTGTTGTCTGCATCCTGCTGGAGGTGTGTACAAAGGATGAATCTTTGTTCCAGGAACAAAGTGACCCCTGTGTCAAGTCCAACTAAGGCATCTTACACAAGCCTGTCTGAAAGTCGGAAGAAGGATGACAAGTCTGAGGTCACCCCAAGGTTAGCGGTCAAGGATAATAAAGGTCACAAAAGTATAGCAAGGTCATTTGAAAATTCTGCTTGTACATTTTATGACATCTTTAAGCATATTCAGATGTTGCTCCTTGTATGTTCGTTGACAGATGACCCTTGTCACGATATGGCAGAAATATTGCCAATGTAATGTTAAATTTTCTCTCTCTTATATAAACTCACAACTGAATGTATGTTTTGGTTCCAGAGCTAATGGATCTGTGCCTACAGAGAGCAAGGAATCAAAGCAGCCAGCAGAGGAAGGTGGGTGAACACAACCTTGTATTTATCAACTGCCCTAAATGTTTTGCAGTCAAACAGTCAAACCAGAAAGTGTCTTCTGTATCCATGTAAAGCATGAAGAGTGAACAGTTTAATCCTGACGACTTCCCTTTGCCTTTATCCGAACTGGAAGTCATCTGTTACATGTGACAAGTGATACATGTAGTTACAAAGACCCAGTGTTAACTTCTTCCAAACGTTGTTTCCAGAAAATTCAGATTAAGAACCAGTGCCAGCAGACTGAAAGAATTTCTAACTGTTTGGTTGAAGTTTGCTACTCATGATGGCCATCAATAATAACAGTCACTCATATCTGCTTTATCATTATTTCACAACAGTGACTCATAAGTCTACAGTGAGTGGTATGTATGATGAAAATAGAAACAGAACTGACTTCATGTAATGTGTCTTCATGCATTTACAGAGAAGAAGCACACGCCCCTGTACTACAACCCCACGTACACAGGGCAGCAGAAGCTTTAGTCTGGACATGAAATCAAGCTCACATTTATTTTTGTACAGCTGTTTTAAAAGGATTCATAAAAATGAACAAATTTTATATTTTGCGGGGGTATTAAGATGGTCTGTACGTCCGCCCGTGCACATTTGTCTTTCCGGAGCAGAACTCTAAAACCGTTCAATATTCCTCCACCAAACTTGGCACATAGATAGATATAGTGGCGTACTGGTGCCTTTGGTAGTTTTGGAATTCTGAATAAAATATATTTTGGCGTTTCCATGGCAACAAGTTTGACTTAGCCTGATATTGGTTGTAGTGCTTTTCCGGAGCTGAACCCTAAAACCGTTGACTATTTCTTCATCAAACTTGGCACATAGATAGATCTGTTGGTGTACTGGTGCCTTTTGGTAGTTTTTGGAATTCTGAAAAATATTTTTTGGCTTTTCCATGGCAACAAGTTTGACTTAGCCTGAAATTGGTGGTAGTGCTCTTTTCCGGAGATGAACTCTAAAACCGTTCACTATTTCTTCACCAAACTTGACACATAGATTGGTCTGGAGATGTACTGGTTCTTTTGGTAGTTTTGGATTTCTGAATAAAATATTGTTGGCGTTTCCATGGCAACAAGTTTGACATCGGCTGAAATTGGTGATAGTGCTCCTTTCTGGAGCAGAACTTTAAAACCTTTCAATACTCTCCTTCCACTTTTCTATATACACACCTAAATATTTGACGTAATCATAACTCGTAAACATAATCATGAAGAGTATTTTGCCATTGGTGGGGATATTGATGACTTTGTCTTCTTGTTTTAAATGTTTGATGAATATTAGATGAGTTGCATTGTATAAAGTCAGTGGCCACTATAAGTCATGGTAAGTGCCTTCCTTGATGAAATGTGATGTTTTATGTGTATCAGTGCCAGAGTGTACAGAGTTAGGAATGGGCAGGTACTCCAGGCCAGGGACTGAAACACGAAGGAAATTGTTCACATTTGTTAATGATAGAGAGTAGATGTGAACGTGAAGATCCGGGTTAAAACCAGTCATCAGCAACCAATGCTTGTTGTAAGAGGCGAATTGGGATCAGGTGTAGGCTCACTACACATGTCATGGTATCCCAGTTACATAGATTGATTACTTGATTGTCTGGTCCAAACTCAGTTATATACAGACATCTGCTACATAGCTGGAATATTGCTGAGTGCTGCTTTAAACAATAAACAAAGACAGTAGATAATGAAGTGAGAGATCTCACCCACAAATTGTAATGTCCTGTTGCAGACTGTGATGGACAAGACACCGACACAGGAGCGTCTTCAGACAACCACCTTCAGCGAGTCGTACCCGACCAGCATGCGTGACAGCTACTACGACACAGAACCAGCCAAGCCTATTGTGATCAGAACTAAAGACTTAGACCCTGACCCCAAGGGCAGCACAAACTTAAACCCTCCCACCCCAAACATCAAACTGTTAACGGCATTGGAACAGGGATGGGCAAGTCGGGGTCCCCAATGGGGACACCAGCTACCCTGGGATGACAGGCTATGAGGACATACAAGTTGCATTCTTTTTGAAGTAAATCTCAAACACAGGACTCTGTGAGAAAGAAAATGGTGGTCTCAATGGAGGCCCACATAAAGGCCCCCACAAAAAACCTGGGCCGGTCAAGATGAGGTGGATGTTGTGTCCAGTCTGAAACCTGAACCTCCCCTCAACCTTTCATTCGGTCACTCCGCGAAGAGCTGGAGCATTTATCCACAAAAATTGGTGAACCAGGAAAGACAGATTCACATGGAAATGCACTGGCATAGTATTAGCTTGTAGTGATTTATGTGGACATAGTACAGGGTGGACTGATTTACAGACTGAGTCAGGATGGACTCTGGTAAACTGCTTCTGTGGAATTCATTATTTTGGTTGTTGAATGAATCCCAACAGATTTATGCTTGGGATTATTGTGATCATTGTGATCATTCCCGTTGTTAAGGATGGGAGTGTTTTTATAGGTTGTTATGTTTCTGACCAAGATTTTAATGTTGGATCTTACCAAGCTTTTACAAATGGAACAATTTGTTTATAATCATAGAAAATTCTTGTCTTATGAACATGTAAACATTTTGATGTTATTGTAACTACCATGACCGTTAAATTTTCTCATGGTTAACATTTGATTTATTCTAGTACTCACACATCCTCATCACAATGCTTTTTGATTACTCAGCATTGTGAGAACTGTTTTATTATGTTGCAGGATTAATTCTTAGCAAACATGACATGAATGAATACGGTGCCAATTATTGTTATTTGACATATGTTCTTCTCAAAATGTAGTGTCTTCTGAGTGTATATGTGTCTCATCTTCAAAAGAAACGCAGAAAGTCTGCCTGTTTCCTGTTGGAAAGGCATTCTGGGTAAAGATTCAAACCCCACTGTCATAGATTTCCTGCTTGACTAAGGGACAGCAAATCGTGGCATCTTAAAAAGTCGAGTCTTCAGTAACTAGCAGTGTGTTAGACAGAGAGGTAATGGAGAAAGGCCACTCACTTTTGTTTCATTGGAATATGTACCCAAGCTAGTACACTTTGTACTATTATCTTGTTTTCGTACCTGTACATTATTCCATCAGAATAAGTATAGGAAGATATATATATTTTTGTGCAAGAGACCTATACTGTTCAACCGAGAACACATGTAGACTTTCAATCAGTTCATCAAGCTGCATGAATAAGAACATTCCAGAAAGTTTGGATCGTGCCATTAAGTAATTTTGTTAAACATGATATGCAAGAATAGCATGATTTGTGCATGGTAAGAAAATGCAGATTAATAACGTTAATTCATTCTTATTATGTTCTATTGATACAATCAGATGAACATACTTTGATGTACATATCTGATGTTTGTTTAGTGCTGAAAGTAAGCGTGAATGTCAAGACAAACACTACCATGACAACCCCAAAGATGAAAATCAAATTTGTATGGGAAGTACAAGGTTAATTACTGAAGATATCCAGAACATTTGCTTCCCTTAATTTTGAACAATTGTCTTAATGATTTCAATTTCCTGGAAAATCAGGTTAGTTCCCTTGTGCTAGAGGTAGATTTAGGATTTTGTGCAAAACCCAATTCGTCAAATGAAACAAAAATCGATGAAAACTGGTGTCATAGAGAAGCTGATTCGGTTAAGTACAGAAAAAATGAGGTGCATCCTCTGCATTTCATGCAACTGATGCATTCGGTCTCGAGAGTAGGAGATGTCATGTTGGGCAGTGTATGGTACTCAGCTTCTCAAGAAACGATTGGGTTTAGATTGAGTTACCTCTTCAAAGACTTGAGTACCAAACAAGGGGAGATAACTCCTGGAATCATTTAGACATGAAGGATATGTAAAGTGACACTACACAATGTTGAATGTGTGGCATACATCTGTGGTGGCATATTTTGAAACACTGTCTCTCAAGTCCACAGTTTGTCGACCTGTTTGTCTGGAAAGGCTTCACAGCTCCAGCACATGAAGTGATGGTTTGTTGTGATGGTGTAGGGTGAACATCTCCTGTATGTGTGTGTGTCAAACATGAAAGGTCTTCCCAGAGGTGTCTAGATCAGAGATCTGATTCTGTAGTGCTAGTTGCAGTATGTGTTTAATGTTGCAGCTTCTTGTTTTGTGTTTGTTGTTGAAAGAGACAATGTGGATGTGTTATTGTCTGATTATGTTTTCAGACATATGTTTTCGCACGGCAGTGTTAAGGCTCACTATAACGAGGCAGTTTGCGTCACAGACATTTTAAAGACTTCGTTGAAGGCTTCTGCTTAAGACAAGTTGTTTTTAATAATTTAGTGACATGTTTTACAATTGTTCATGCAATAATCAAGAATCTCAAGATCTCATTTCTCTGTAGGGAATGAGACTTTCTAGAAGACTACAATGGGACCAACATCTCACATGAGTCCATTCCTGAGAATCTGTTTTTCCTTGTATGTCTAACATAAAAGTACCCACAAGTGTGATATGTTAACCTGATTATGAAGATGAAGAGCCTACTGCCAAGTAGTAGTCTTCATGTATTATGATCCTTAGTGTCAAATATGATCCTTAGTGTCAAATATTAGAAGTACCTATATGTTTTTTAAACCAAGAAATTTACATATCAATATTATTATACTCAAATATTATATATATATTACATATTTGTTCTGCCAGAATCATCCTCTACCCCTAATATCAGTTGTTTTATTCTGTTTCTGACCTTGATATATCAAAGTTCCTTTCCAACCCCAACCCCTACACACACACACACACACACACACACCACAACCACACTCACACAACCTCCATCTCCTTTCAAGCACAGTACATGTCGAGAGCTTCCTCACTTTCTCATCCCACCCCACTCCACCCCACCTCACCCCAAAATTGAATTGTTTGTTTTGAAATATAGTCATTCAATAATAAAGGTCTACTTTCAAGTTATCCTCTTGGTATATTTTGACAAAAATATGCGAATGTCTTTAAATGCAGGTGATATGAGATAGGGGATAATAAACAAGAATAGAGTTATGGGTCAGGAAAACACACATTTTGCGCAATAGGATAGAAACTCCACCAGGTCTTTCATGATTGTGTAGTTGTATCGTACGCCTTGCTTTGTCCATCGCTAGTCATGACTTATTGTACTTATGAAATATATCTATACCTGATGTCTATTTATTGACTTATTGTGCTTATTTATACCTGTTTAATCAACATGCTTTTGTACCAGGTTAGTGAATGCTCATCTCCGATGATCCAGGGTACAATATCCCCATTATGTTGTAATAAGTACCCTGGTCCAGTCTGCTAGTGGTTGGTGGGGTAGACTAGTGATTAAAGCATTCGCTTTTCAAAACGAAGATTCAATTCCCCTCATGGGTACAATGTGTGAAGCCCATTTCTGATGCCCCTGCTAAAAGCGGCGTAAAACCACGCACTCACTCACCCATTTGCTAGTACAGCTTAGGTTTGAGTTTTGATGAACTGGCATGATGCTTAAACTTAACCATCCAGTAAAATTATTAAGTTCCTTCTCAATTGCAACAAGTGGCGATATGACCAGTACTCAAACTGCCTTGTTAACTGGCTCAAATACATGACTTTGTAGCGAAACTTCTTTGTCGTCATAGTCATGACAACAGATTCTCCTGATGCAATTACTTAACCACATGTTTAAATTAGATTTATGCCAAACAGGCATAAAGAAGAGGCACTTTGAATTGATAATTTGATGAGAATGAGTGAGCACTTCTGTGTTTAGTTAGTGGTAAGCAAGATGAAGATTGTGACATTACTTCTGGAACAAAAGGATGCTGAATGCCTTCAATAATTGACATCTGCCCTCCAAATATTTTGGTGAAATGACGTTATTGAGATACCAGGTGTTTGGGGAAAAAGGGGTTTGCCCAAGTGACAGAGATGATGAACCTTGGGAGCCTTTATCTGTACCCAAGGTCTTGTTTTCTCAGTGTAATGAGTACTAATCATTAGTCATAATCAGATTCATATACATCATAAGTCTAAAGTAACCTGGACTTCAATCAACCTTGCAAGGTCTGATAATCAGTCTGAAGTAGGTCCTTCTTTGATATGATGTTGTGTCCCAGCGGAACACATATCCAATGCCCAGAGCTTCTGTCAAACATTGATGACCCATCATAGGGTTTGTGGGTGTGGGGTGAACCCAACCCAAACTAAAAAACCTGTTTAGCTCCCAGATTTTGCTGTTGCCGATGTATGATCTCTGATTTGTTCAATTTGGCTAGTAATAAGTATGCAATAAGGTTTTTACATAACACAGTGACATCGCATAAATGAGGTCTGAATATTAAATAAATTCCAAATAGCTTCGTTTTTACTTATGAGGTAGTTGTTTCATTCATAAAACTGGATATGGTATAAGTTGCATGTTACAGCATAGGCTGATGACCATTATGGTTATGTTTGACATTCTGAAGAAAATGAAAATCACAGTATATTTGCTCAAACCAAAACTGAAAGATTTGTGTCTTTGCTTAACAGAACTTTCAAATGTATGTTACTGGGAGCTAGTTCAGCTGTGCGGACTGTGATAATATCTTCAAACACAATGAAATGTTACTTGAGAGTAACTAAATTTGCTAAATTTGTCCCATTTTCTGTCCATCCTCATCTGATTGATATGTTTATATCAAAATCTTGTACAGTGACAAATGGTACTTAACTGCAGATTATTATCATCTATGTGTCCATAGTGTTTAGTTGTTGAAGCTTGGTATGTGATTGGTGATGTTCCACAGAAACATGACATATGTTTCATTTTAGATGGAATAAAGTATCAAACGACAGTGATGAATAAGGGTCCTTTTTGTGATACAGGATCTGCAAATTTAAGAACTGAGAAACAATTTTGACATTATTATGAAATATATCAGATATGGTTTCTGGAAGTCTGCTTTGTTCAGTTTCATTTTGGATCGACTTGCTTATACTTGAGGTTTCACTCATTGCAGTCGTATTGTCAACCATGTCAAAACTTCAAAAGTGAGAAAGAAAAGAATCTACTTGTCACCTATTTGATCATGTCTGATCTTTTGCATATTACAAAATTGCCACAATTTCAAAATTTGAAAATTCCATTTGGCAAAAGGCGGACTGTTATCCCTCATTGCCGTTTTGTTTCGCCACAAGGACATTGACCTTTAGCCCTCAATTTAAATATGAGTATTATTGACATTTACCTCTTGTTTAAAGGTCGTCACACATCATGTATATCATATATATCCATGGGGAAGAGTTGCATATGAACTGTATATCATACTTGTTATTGCATAACATCATGGGAACGGGTATTTGTTAAATCAACAAGACTTGTACAGATATAGAGCTGCAATGTTTGTATATAGACATTGTAACACACAACACTATATTATGCAATATATTTTGTAATGTAACTGATAATAAAATACTGATAATTTATCATAATGTTTTGTTTCTTCATGCCCAGGGTGAGTGAGGGGGCAATGCAGTGGCCTAGTGTTAAAACTCTTGCTCCTTGCATAAAACACAGAGGTTCAAGTCCCCACAAGGGTACAAAGTGCGAAGTCCATTTCTGGTGTCCCACCATGCAATTGCTGGAATATTGCTGAAAGAAGTGTAAGGCCTAATTCCCTCACTCAGGGTTGCTCCTCTAGATATGACAGGAACCTGTGATTGGTGGTTCAAATTTTGGTTCGCACTGCTTGGTT